GATCCCCAAATCCAGGTGTGAAAAACTTGTTGCATCATTCCCAAGAAGACTCATGGCTGTACTAGCTAAAAGGGTGCTTCTACTCAATACTGAGCAAAGGGTCTGAATACTTATGACCATGTAATATTTCAGGTTTTCTTTTTTAATAAATTTGCAAAACTTTCTACATTTTTGTTCTGTCAAGATGGGCTCCTGAGTGTACATTAATGAGAAATTAAATGAACTTTTTTGATTTTAGCAAATGGCTGCAATGAAACAAAGAGTGACAAATTTAAAGGGGTCTGAATACTTTCCGTACCCACTGTATAGGCGAAAATGTATTCACAGCATGTCAAGGAACAAATTAGGGAGGTTATCACTAACTGATATCACTGGCAGTGCATGGCCCAAGACAAAGTGACTGAATTTATTTTTTTTGCTACCTTTGCAAAATGTTTCCAATAAAGGGTCTCAATTACCTGATAATGTCCACTGAAAACTGCATCATGCAGTGGCATTGAACCATCAAGGCTCTGAGTGTTGATAATAGCTCCAGCCTTCAACAGCTCTTCCACCACTGTCCGGTCTCCTGCAGCTACAGCGTCATGAAGAGCTGTCCAGCCTGACAAATGCAATCACGGATCAGAAGAGCAATAAAAAAATAAGAAGTTTCAGTGTCATATACACACATAAAAGCATAACACAATATTTTATATTATATTATGGGTATGCCAACTGTAGCTTCTGCTGTAGTGTGGAAACCACAGAAAACAAACAAAATGACACAAAAACATAAACGTAACAATGGCACATACCTGCGTAATCTGCGACATTGACATTGATCCCAGCTTGAATAAGCATTTTGACTTGTGCCAAATCTTTTCTCCTGCATGCTTTAAACAGAACTGTCTCTCCTTTTTCATTTCTCTTAAGAACCTGAGTCTTATTAGGTATTCTCTTCCAGGATGATACATTTGCTTTTGAAAAAAAACAAAACAAGATGTATTGGGACATTGTGAAGAGAAAGACATTATTTTCTGTTAATTAATGTTAAAACAATAAGATTCTATTTTTGGCAGGAAGGTTCTATCACCAGATTGAGATGTTGATTGGTTGGCAACTGAAGAATGGTCATAATTGCATTTCACTCCCTTGACTTTTTCAAGTGGAAATAGCTTGTTGTCCAACTTTTCTTTTGGCACAATGACACCTTGTGTATGGCTTCCACCTTTTTCTGCATCTTCAACTGCAACTGTATTTTGGTGGCCATTCATATCAGGCAACAGACTCACAGACTCATCATCTGACCTTGATACACTTGTCCAAAGCTCCCGATGACTGTTTTCAGACATCTCCAAAATCTCTGTGATGAAAAACATTTTAATCCCTAGTTAGAAAACCTCCCCTTTCCCTTCATCTTCACATTACGACCAGCTTATGAGAAGACTGACCATGTCTTCTCTCAATGCATATTCATTTACGTTTTTACAACAGCAATTACACAGTACACAGGATCATAGCACTATGGTTAGTTGGCCACCCTACTTTTATCATACATATACAGCAGGTATATCTTACATTAGACGTTTTTGTCTACTATAAAGTAAGGTTAGAGAAGTAAGAAAACACGGCGGAATCCACATGAACATTTTCAGAGTCAAGAAACGAAATATTTCTAATATAAACTAAAAACAAATAAGCCCACATTATACTTATAATAATAATAAAAAATGTGTTAATTACCATAGTTAAAACAGACTAGTTTATTTTCACCAAACCATTTCAGTGTGCTTTCAATTCCTTTGCTAGCAGGTTCGGACTGTTAGCTACTAGCCGATGAAGCGCGTTCTGAGCGCGGTACATTTGTTGAAACGGTAATGTGTGTTTAACGTATGTCTACCATAAACCACTGACCCTCTTCGACGTAGCTTTCCAAAATATGTCCCCAAAATCGGTTCTGATACCAAAAGTCTCCCTGTGAGTGTCAGTTCCGGCTTATTTAAAAACGAAGCACAAAACATTAGTCTCTGTCAAACGAACAAATTAGTTGTCAATTACGAAGGTGCTCCTTCTGTGAGTGTTACGGTACGGATGTTCATAGCAGTCAAAAATAAGATATTAATCATATTGATATTTATAATACGTCAAGACATTTATCAATTGCCTCTCACCCAAGTTGTATTTGTTGATTCGCTAATAATTATTCAATCACGGTTAAATGAAAAGTGACGCCCTCGGTCGGAATCAGTGCACATTGCTACGGACATCCACGCGGCTCCTCGTTAGTATAGTGGTGAGTATCCTCGCCTATCACGTGGGAGGCGAGGATACTAGAGTCACTAGATAAACAATTTTATTGTTTAGTGTTGGAGAAACACAGCCTTCTTTACAACGCCCACAATAGGGCTAAAGCGCCACCTGCTGTAAAACAAATGAAATGATTAGTTCAAGATTCGTTCACGACTCGTTCATTTTACTGTTCGAGAGTCAAAGATTCGAATCAATAAAAAGAGTCGTTCTTCCCATCACTAGTTTTTTTTAATTTAAGCACAACTTTTGTGAGTTAAAAAAATTCTTTGTGCCCGCGCTTTAACGGAATTAGATCACAATGCTATGGTGACGTTTCGATGCTCCTCGTTAGTATAGTGGTGAGTATCCCCGCCTGTCACGCGGGGTTCAATTCCCCGACGGGAGGTCAAATTTATTGTTTGTAAGAGAAATTCCTTCAAAGGCGACTCGCTCAACTTGCATTTGTCTATTCGTCCACTTAAATTCAATTGTATTTACAAGTATATACTTTTTCTTACATCAATTCGATAATAATGTTAAAATTAAAGTTCGATCAATTGCCACTCAATCACGTTGTATTTGTTGACGGAATCAGGTCACATTACTGTGACACCTCACAGTTCCTCATTAGTATTAAGTAGCCCAAAGTGTATTACACGTCTTACGATCCAAAGCAACGGTTCTGAAAAAAAACGAAAAATGACGCCCTCTAGAGGTGTTGTGTTAGATTATAAGGCCTCCGGTCACAGCTCCTCGTTAGTATAGTGGTGAGTATCCCCGCCTGTCACGCGGGAGACCGGGGAGGTCTCTTCTTTCTTTGTTCAATAAATTTGACCTTATTCAAACAACACCTAATCAAGTTGAATTTGTTCATTCGCTTAAGTAGCATTCAGATTAGATGGACAATTACAGGCTTTAATTTATTCATCAAGATATACAAGGGAAACGTTTGATCTAATGTCACTCCTTCAAGTTGTCTCTGAGTGACAATTGATACAAATAAGAAACGAAGATCGATAGATTTTATGTAGAGTGCCTGCACACCCTGTGCAAAGGTTAAATAGCCCAAAGTGTATTATACGACTGACCCATCCAAAAACAACAGTTCTGAAAACTGAGACTACTTCTATTTTTTTTCTCCACTAAAGCACACAGTAAGTTTTACCATGACATTGTCTAGTGTTACATTTTAGTGTGAAATACCATGTACATGGGTAAAAGGATCTGTAATCTTTATCTCTTATTTTTCCACCTTGACCACCATGGTTCTTGAAGTGGGAGGCAAGTCCCCCCCGACCCCCACCCCCCATCCTCTGAACAGGCAGGAAGCAATTGCAGAAGACATGAATTAGTGTTTCAAATGAAGTTCAGTGAAGTTTTTAAGCAAAAGCTGTGGATGTGTTGATTTCTTCATAAATGTGTCTCTGTAGAAAAAGGTTTAGAACTACTGGACTAGGAAGCCCATTGATTTAATTAAAATTTAAATGTGAACAGACAGTATGGTTCCCAGTGCAATCACGAAACACAGACAACAATTGATGACAGTTTCCCCTCTTTTCACACAGTACATCTATACATGTGGGCTTGTGTTGCAGGAGACATGATGCAGTTCCAAGGACAGCAAAATACACACACACAATATATAGTAACTGTATTATTTACACAACTTGTTACATGTACATGTTGTCTTGTACAGCAGGACTTTGGTATCAGGAATAAGTCAGGTGAGAGAGGTCCATGTTTTTATTGAAGATGACCGAAAACTCTTTGGACAACAGCTGGTGGAGGCTGACGCCGTCATGAGAGTACACCCAATGTTTACCCGTCCAGTGGTAGCGCTTTGGCCCACTGCAAACAACATGGAAATATTTTTTTAATAAGGAGAAAGGCTCTTTTTATTTTGTTATATTTCAAATGATGTAAGGGTTCCTATTGAACTTACTTTTATAACTTTATTATGTTGTTCAAAGGGGATACATATGTCTCTGTATGAAAAGATCTTTTAAAATGTTGACTTAAGAATATTTCACATATTTTTTTTACAAAGTTGCAAGCAGAATGTGGTTTAATACAATGTATTTATACATTATAAAAGGAGATAAAAATGAATTATTCTCAAAACTATTCTAGAAAAATGTAGTTTAGATGTAGTAAATAAGGTTAAAATCCTAAAATGTTTTATATAAAAAATAAAAAGATCAAATATATATATACAGATATGTACAGTATCTCTCTGTCTCTGTCTCTCTCTCTCTCTATATATATACATATATGTATATTCAGAACTTTCATTGTGGTTGGTCTGTTTACCTGGTGGGAGAAGAAAGCCAAATCTGTTTGTTTGGAGTCTGTTTGTTAATGACGTAGGTGCCGTGTTCACCCCCGACCTTGACTGTCAACACACCACTCTGTGAGCAGACCAAACAAACAATACAGTAAAAAAATAATACATATTAAATAAAACATTTAATTAAAAGTCTGGTTAGTCTAATGATAAGAATGTGGCCATGTTTGGTATATTTTATGTATTGTATTACTCAACACTTTTACACCAGCCAAGCAGCAAGCAAAAATCAGACAACTGAACTTTTCCAACTCCCCTGTAATGACTCATCTCCCTTGTTTAGACCATGTATTCGAACCATTGAAATCTGGACAGAACCATAGGCTAACTTACTGAGAAGACCACATCGTAGTCAGCTCCAGTAAAGGCTTCATCTGTCAGATCCTCAAAGTATTCGGCCAGTGCATCCAGTGTCTCCTCTGCCAGTTTCTCGTATGCAGTTTCAGAAAGTTCACTGTCAGACAACAACAATGAAATATGACAAATTACACAATAATACATAACACCGTTCGCTGACAACAACTGATTCTGAAAGACAAAACTAAATGCATCACCTTATCTGTACAGTGGTGGGTTTCTCCAGCCTTAGTAGAGTCACGTGGAAATATTTCCTCTGAAAACCTGAACTTGGTAAACAACACTAAATAAGACAGCACAAGAAAATACCATTAGGATTTAATGAACAGTGGGTTATATTTTTCTTTTTTTTTATTCTACATTTATCAGCAATATGTAAGTATATGCACCGAGGCATAACATATCAATACAGCCCTACAGCACGTTAGGTAATGACCTACGTCACATTATATAGATTGCAATTAATTATATATCTTTGTCGACACAACAAACACAGCTAACCATCACGTTGCCTCCGGAACTGCTGAATCAAAATAACGTTGACCCTGCTACACTGAACTGCATCTTTATACTGTTTATTTTGACAGTGTGAACTGATGTGCAGCCTACCGTAGGACTTACCTTATTGTTGTTAAGACTGACAGCTGCGGGGAGTCGTTCTGTGTGTTTTATAACGACAGGAGCCGTAAAGAACGTGAAGCAGCTCTTGAGCTGAAAACAACACACAGTACAGGTCATGGTGAAAAAAAAAAGGACTGCCATGTGTTCGTAAATAGGCAGTATCGATAAAACAGCACATTTACCTGTTTCCATTGCGTGTTTACGAGCGGACGCGTGTGTTTAAAAAGACTGGTAGATTTACTCAAAAACAGCAGCGACAGCACCATTGTGGGGGAAATGCAAAGCTCCGACACCTCCTCTGACTCAACTTTTTGTCTTCCTCCTTGCTATTCTTTTTCTCTGGTCCTAACAGCCTTTTAGAGGTAAGTGGATGGACTACTGCCATCCATTGGCAAAAAAGAAGAACTACAGCGTCCTCTTTGGCAACAGACGGAGGATTCATTTGAAAACCTGTTTAATCTGATAACTGTTGCAGATTCTTAGAGAATATACAACATATTTATCAATTTATACGATTGTATGAATGTATTTTTCTCCTTTAAAGCCTTATTTTCTCCACCTTTTAATTTAATATTATTATTATTTTATTTTTTAGGTTGGTCTTTGTTGTTTATGTGCTACCTCTTGGTATTGCCACAGTAGATCATCCACCTCAATCTCATTTCATGTCTTGTCTCTCCCCCTGTTGTCTCATCCATCTCACTGTCCTTCTTCACCAGACACATGAACCTCCTCTGAAGTCTTCATATTCTCCTTTTGTCTGGCAGCTTCACTACCCAACATCCTCAGTCAAACACATTGAATTTTCCATACGTCAACATCTCAACCCCACCAACACCCTTTAAGTCATACTCCTCCTCCTTCAGCATTTGTCCACTGTTCTATTTGGTTTAATAACAAAGACAGTTTGTTTTGCTCCAGGATTTATTCATGTCACGGAGTTGCTTCAGGAACTAAGATCTAAACCGTTTTTAGGAAGGCCAAGCATTTATTTCCAACGTTGATTCCCACAGCTGGCTGTGAGTTGAGGGGATGAACATGTCAAATGCCCAGTTAACAACATTAATGTTGGCAGATGAAGAGGGAACACTGGAGTAACGCAATCTACACAGGCAGTCCCTGTCATGTCTCTTTGCATTTATTAAAAATAGGTATCAAAAATATCCTACCATTACCAGGCTGTGGATTCAAACAGCACACATTGCAGTAAATCACATTTTGTGAATGGTTTGTACAGTTTTGATTGGATGAGTATGATAACAGAAAAGTTACAGCCTCAACAAAGAGTGGTATCACAGCAGTCTGGAATAGACTTGAGTCATTATATTGACCTCTTCTTCTGGGTGTCCATTATTAGAATTAGTTTAGTAGATTCATTTACTTATAGTAAATTACAGCCCCTCCCTATTTATAGGTCAACCAGTATTTATAGATCACAAAACATAATTTAACTTCATGTTTCATGACAAGATCAACCTGTTGTTGTCCACAGATCAAAGTCCAAGATATAAATCAGCTGGAGATCTAAGATTTCCTAAGATCTCCATTTTAGGCACATGACCAGTTTTTTTTTTTTTTTTCAAAACATGGCTTTCTATAGAGCACTGCCCTTATACTTTGATGCTTTGTGCCTTTTCGACATGGGCACATATTTCTTTGTGGCTGAACCAAAATGTTAAGATCCAATATGCAATTTTCAGACAAAGAATACAAAAGAGAATGCTTAAAGAGTCATGTTTTACTCTGCCTTTTGTTTCTTCCTTCTTCTGTTTTGTCAGCCACCAGTCCTGGTGTTTTGTTTGAGTACGGCAGGAATATCCAGACCCTTTCCTTTATTTCACAGATTTAAAAAAGTCCAATATCATGTTATTTTTTATGTGTTCTGGATGTGCAGATTATGATGTGAAAATCACAATGACCTACTGTAACAGTATCAGAAGACACACTGAAGATAGTGTTATAAATGGAGGCTGGGATCTGTACCATAAACACTGTTCCTTATTCAGGGCTATACTGATTTTCTATTTCTCTGTTGGACTACTACTTGACGCATTTATTATAGTCATACTTGCTCTAACAGCACCAGCTTGTGGTGGTGCAGTACTGCATTTTGGACCTTCAAAGTAGTCTTGATAGACTATATTGTTCTGCCACTTTTTCACAATCTGAAATGATGTGATGCAGAATCTCCTCTGTGTGAGCCTTTAATTTAATTCCACTGGTGAAAGTGCAAAAAAGGTAAGCAGTCCTTATTTAACCTCTATCCCTCATTGTTTGGTACACAATATAAAACCAGATACAGAAAATGAATCAGACCAGTTGGATTAGGTTCCACTGGAGCAAAGAGAATGATCACACAATGCCCCTGGTTTACTATTCTGAGGACGTTTGACGTCTGTTTTACAGCAGTGTAAGTTGGTCACTTTCAAAAATGTGCATGTTTTACTGGTCTGACAGTTCAGACCATTGTTCGTTGGGCACAACAATGAAGAGCTGCATTCAGAATCTCAAGAAGCTTTTCTGTTGCATGTTCCTGCAATCTCCTGTAGATTTACCTTAGACCTGGAAACAAACACATCATTGACACGTGTTATGTTTGTGCCTTTAGTGAAAGACTATTTGTGTTTGATAAAATAATTTCTTATAAATTACTTCTACTGATAGACATAAATTTAAATAATCTGTTGAGGACCGTTTTACCTGTTGTGTGTCATGTGACTCTTGACCAAATGTCCAGCAGCCAGAGCTGCCATAAGTGAGAGCTCTCCAGCCAATACTGTGGCACAAACCACCCTGGCGAGTTGACGAGCGTTCTCCCCTGGGCACTCCTGACTTGCTCCCAGTACACCCAGCATCTGCATGGCACACCAACACACACACACAGTGTTAGTGTAACTTTTACACATCTACATACCAAATGTACATAAACTGTATCTGTGCGTATGTGCACACCTGCAGGCACGCTTGTTGTGGGGGTAGGTTGGTTCCTCCACCCACAGTACCAAGCTCTATGGAAGGCATGGTGCAGCTGATGTACAGGTCCTCCTGTGTGGGCCCTGTGGCCTCCATTATAGTAATGCAGTTACTGCTGCCTACAGTCTGGGCCGGGTCCTAAAAACAAATACAAGACAATGAGCTCAAGACAATGCAGCTTGAACGTATTTGCTTTTATATCTCTGAGGAGCTAGCGGACCTGTCCACAGGCGATGTAGATAGCAGCTACAAGGTTGGCAGCATGAGCATTAAATCCACCGATGCTCCCTGCCATGGCTGATCCAATGAGGTTCTTATTAATGTTCACGTCCACCAGAGCCTCTGTTGTTGTTTTCAAAACCTAAGGCACAGGTAGGAGCACTAAGTATGACCTCGCTGATTTCAAATGTGCAACCAATCACTCATTAAACCCACATATTTTAAAAGTATCAGTCATCTATACATCTCCTCCCACCTCTCTGACTACTTTGGCAGGAATGGTGGCTTCACAGACAGCAGACTTGCCCCGGCCTTCGATCCAGTTGATGGCAGCAGGTTTCTTGTCGGTGCAGTAGTTTCCACTCACGGCCACCACCTGCAGCTCTGGGAAGTACTGCTGCAGTCGGCTCAGAGCCTGCTCTGTGCCCTGGAGGTGGAGGCACAAGGAAGATCATGATAAATGAGAAACAATTGGATCAAATGACACGTATATGTCTGAAACCAAGAACTAAATCAAAGTTGAGTCTGAGCTCCATCCTAAGAATGTTACACCTTAGTCCAAGCCAATGAAGGTAGTTTCATTAATTTCAGTTAAATCCAAGTTTTAGTCCAGTTTGAGCCAGAAGTCCAGAACAACTACTTTGGGTCTTTGTTTGTGAATAAACACACAACCTCTTGCCTTCACTGGTACAGACACATTGTATGTAGGTGGTGTATTTTCTTAACGTGTCGCTCTCAACTAACCAAAACCTATTACCGTTTCCCAATCTAAACAACAACTGCTAAAACTAAATCCAGAACCTTAACAAAACCCTTTTGACATCAGTGATCACTGGATTCAACAGTCCAATAATCCACAATCGGTCTGAACCAAAAATGCATCCCCACAGTGTAGTAAACTGTCTACAAAAGTCACCTTAGAGATCATGTTCATCCCCATAGCATCTCCAGTCTTGGAGTGAAATCTGATGTAGAGGTTTCTACCAGCCATGCCGACCAGGAGCTTCTGGAGTCGAGCAAACCTGCCAAAAACAACAGCAAAGAAAATGATCACTTGTAGACACTTTGACCATCAAAATGCGAATATTAATTATGCAAATGTTACGTTTTGTTTGTGGTTTTACCTGCTTGTGTTGTCAAAGGCTTCCTTGACAGACTGGAAACCATCCATGCTCTCCAACCACTCCTTCACCTCAGCAGCCTGACAGGCCGAGGGCATCCTCACGACAGGTCCTCGTGTCATGCTGTCAGCCAGGATACGACTGCTGGCTCCACCTCCAAGCTAAACACAGAAGTGTATTATTAGTAATAGAACAGTATAATACGGAGGTTCTGAAAAATCCAAAAGCTTCTGTCATTGCAAACCAAACCCAAATATCATTTTTTCCTGTCACCAATGAGGTAAACATAGAGTGAAAGTTGTCCACAAGGGGCAGCAGTTGATACTCACAGCAATCGCGCGACAACCACGGTTGGTGCTGGCTACTAAGCAGCCCTCTGTTGTTGCCATGGGAACCTGGAACTGCTTCCCGTCCAAATGCAGAGGTCCAGCCACGCCCACTGGTACGGGCATGTAGCCAATCACATTTTCACAGCAAGTACCCATAACCTGGAGAAAGAACCTCTGATGAAAATACTAACTAGAAAAGTTCAGCGTTTGTGTTGTTTGGGGACATTTCTTAGCTCTAGGTTCATGTATTTAAGAGTGTAATAGGCTTAATAGGCTTGTGATAAACTCCATGTGTGCATGGTTGTGTTAGTGTGTGTGTATGTTCACCTTGGAATAGTCATAGTCCGTGTACGGCAGGGTGGAGAGTGCAGAAGGGGAAGGAAGCTTTGAAGACAGCATCTGTCTGCGGATGGCCACTCCTCGCTCTGGTCTCTCCATCATGGTCTCCAGTTTGTATTTAGGGATATGTTTGGAGTTCACCAGCAGCATCACCTCAGTGTCGGTCAGGGAACGAGGTCCAAGCTGAGACAGAGGACATTCATTTGTTATTAAAGATCAGGTAATTAGTTTTTTATTTCCTCTGCATAATTTACAAAACATTTGTTGTCACATTTTTCTCGTGCTGTGAGAGATCCTCAGGTGTACCATAGAAACTTTCACTTAATTGGTTTAAAAACAATAATTTATGTGCTGCAAATAATTTCTCTTTTCGTTTGTCTATACGGCGGTAACAGGCAGAACAATCAAATACTCTTTTACTAGGTGACAGCAGATAGCTATAAAAAGTAAATAAAGAGAGCTTTTGAAGATCTTGGAGTGTGTCTTTCTTTAATTCTTGTGAGTATATCAGCTTCGTGTTCAATAATTTCAATCTTTGGGCAAAGTGGACATGAGGCAACACTGAACCAATGAAACAAAAGCAAGTCTCTTAGCTTCATGCTCAAATTGGTTCAACCTCACAGAGACACCAGAGTGGCTTATCTCATAAAGTCCAGTTAAATCAGTCAATCTCTTCTAACCCTGAAATCTCATTGGTGACTCTGACAGACACTTCAGGGCCAAGGGGTATAAACCTGTCATCTAACATGAGGTCAGCTCAGTTGTCAGCCGGTAAAGTACTTTTACTGTATTATTTTCATTACTCACTTCAGGATTGTTGAGGATGGCCACACACTGGTCCAGGCTCCTGGGCTGTGGGGGGAGGCTGAGCTGCAGAGATTCAGCCTTGAGCTCTTCCTCTTCATTCCCCACCACAAACATGCTCATTGCCTGAGAATCAGTGGCTGAAGATGACAGTGGCCTGATGACCTCATCTACAGCAAAACCAGACTGAGTTACACACCGGAGTACTGCAGTTCTCTGCTACAGTATTTACACAGAGTTCACACAAACCTTTCTCTTTCTTGACCAGTGTCAAGGCAGCAATGCTGGGGGGCTTTTCCAGGCACCTGGGTGCAGGTGGCACTTGCCTGTGGCAGCTTTCAGTGGGCTGTCGCTGGGTCAGGGATGGGGCAGACATAGTGATGGGGTTCTTCAGAGAAAGCGTGGACTCTACCTCCTGCTCAAAGAAGATGTACTTGACAGCCAGCAGTAGAGCCAAAGCCAGACAGATCACCTGCTCTATGTCCATTGTTATCATCCTGCAGATGGAGAGAGGTGAGATAATTAACATGTGAATGTGCACTGTTACAGATGCAGAATGGAAATTTAGAAGATTATTAAAGCATTTTTATTTACATGTGTGTATTATATATATATATATATGGTTTATTTTTAAGTTCTCACTAATGTTCTTAACTTCCCCAAGTATTTTTCTGTCTTACCTTGACTGTTCTCTGCAGGCTGCTATGAAGTAAACAAAGTGAGGCCTTACCTAGTGAGGTAGAACTGCCACAGTGGTTTCTCTGGCTCAATTCTTCTGGGGGAGAATTCGTTCAGCTCAATGCCAACTTGAGAGAACCCCACTGTAGAGTTGGCAGACAAGGGCTCGGCGATCCATCGGCTGTGAGCGTGGACCATCACCAATCCTAAAGACTGTGGGAGAAACAAAGGCAGAATAAACTTTCAGGTAATTTTGTACCTTTGAAAAGGAGTGTGTTTGTTTTTAATTTCACTGACTTTGTTGCATTATAAATACAGTGAAGGTAATAAAACTCTTAGAGAGATGTTACCATGATCATTTTGACTCGCTGGGTTACAGGGTTGGGTTTGTTGTCCTCCTCAATCACTCCAGAGAAGTGACTTAACTGCCAGATAGGGTGACCCTCCTGACTCTCACGGGACAGCTACCGATAAAAGCAAATGCAATGAGTCCAGATTCAACTTATATTGATGTTGAAACAAAACGCTTCAGCATCAACAAACAAAAACCACTTACCTCCAACACCAGTGAGACACAGGCCGGGAAGAACGTCATAAACACAAAATAATTGGCCAAAACTGACATGCAGCCAAAGCAGCACATGATTTCCAACTGACGCACACCTGAAAACACAAGAAACCTACAGTACTTAGGATTTACCTTCATGAAACAATCACAATCACTTGGGGTCAGTGGACTCAGAACAAGCCTGTTATACGTACTGTGTACTGAAATAAGGTCTGTCTTAAAATGCCATGTTTTTTGAAGGGTACATAGTTTTTGCAGTGGGTTGCAACAGGTCAGATGAATTCAAATTGTAATATGTCTTAATTTTTGCTAAACTGGGAAAAATAAATCCCTGATTTTAATTGTTTTTCTTTTTTTGTGACATTATCAGTAACAGTGTTACAATAGTCCCATCAACTAAATGTTGTCACTGTGTGAGAAGTCTTGGAACTACCGGACTAGGTTCACTTTGATGACTCACACTGATTTAAGTAAACGTGAACAGACAGTAAGTACCTGACATGGTTCCCACTCCAATCACTAAACATTCCACCAGAGCGTCCAGAGTGAAAGTTGGTCCCAGGACTGCCATGCCACGAGCAATGTTGTCTCTCACTTCGTCCTGAAATATAGGTACATTTTTGTTTGTTAAAACTATCAAAAGTTTATTTAGCATGTTGTTTTTTTCATGTATTCCCTTATACCTGACTACTGGAGCTCAGGGCAAACTTGGCAAGAGCACATGCCTTGGATAGGTCGATGAGGAGCAAGAAAAAAGGCAAAGCCTCACTGAATGACAAAAAAGACAAAAAATAGCTGAAGCATTTGGAGTGAAAGACCAATCATGTTTGCAAAGTATGTATCCTTACTTGAGTCCTGTGAGCTCTTTGTCCAGGAAGTGAATGACAACTGTGCTGAAGACAAAGCTGGAGAAAATTGTGAAAAGACCAGCAATGCCTGAAAGAGAGTAGATGGTGTTTCATCAAAATGATGGTAAATAGACAGGCTCCCTCTCTGCCCACCCAAAAAACAAACATTTTTAGCAAGCTAAAAAAGCTGTTATTTCTACAAAATACTGCTTTTTAATGAATTGTAATGAGGTAACTCCTGCTTGTTTGCTTATTTATGTCACTGCATTAAAAGGCACCCCAACAGACACGGGGAAAATATGTCAAATAAAACAAGGCATTCTATAATAATAATAATATCTAAACAATAAAACACTTTGTAGTAATGTTTTGGGGACATGAAAAAAGATCTTTGCATAAATTTGGAGCGCTTCTGTGTCTCATAATAAAAATAAGTCAGGATTTTGTGTGGAATACCTAAAATGTATTTGGATCCCAGCTGTCTCAGGTTCTGGAACTGGAAGTAAATGTAGACGATGGCAATGCAGCGTGTAATGGTCAGGATGATGATGTCACTGCTCAGTATTTGCTATTAAAATAAAGAACAACTTGATTAGTGCACTGTTTATGTAAGTTGTCTAATAGATTCATAGTCAGGCTGTTCACTCACCTCTTCACTTTTGGGGCAATCAAAGTTCCATCCACAGACCTGGTTATTACCTGTGAACATGTTCATGGACATCATGCAGACAGTGAGGGTGACGGTGCCAACGATCACCTCCCAGGGGTGGGAGGCCACCAGGAGGCCGTGCATACGGAAAAGGCGAGTCAGCATGGTGCAATAAAGCTGAAGAGAAATCAAAAAGTACATAAAGGAGGTTGGGTTAGCAGCGAGTAGCACAACGTAACTCCACCACACTGACTCAACGGACAAATGCTGTTTCTCTACATTCTGCTCTGTATGCTAAGAGTCAATGTCACTACAAATGTAGCCCCAAATAATTTACCATTCTGTAACTTAATCACCACCCTATTAATGAATTTACAAAAAAAAGTTAACACAGCTTCTTTCACATTTACTTTCATTAGAGTTACAGTTGTAAACACATTTCATTTTTTATTAAGCAGTGGATATTTGATCAATTTTTGATTTTTGTTTGTCCCTAAATCTCATACATTCTTAATTAGCATTTATCTAGCAAGACCGCAACAATTGTGACAACGGTTTGTTTTTCCAAATCTCTAGTAACACATGGCAAAGACTTGAGTTAGCAAATAGAAAAATAAAGAAAGTTCTCGCGCTCGAAGTCAGATCTTAGCGGGTCATTTTCACTCCAGTGAATCCGCACTAATTATAGACGCCCGTAGATTAAAAGGTTATTGAATGTTTACCTTTTTGATTCAAAAGACACACATTCGTCAATGAAACTTTGACTTATTGACTTCATTATCTAATATTATTAACAACTATGAACTATATATTAATTAAAGTGAACCAAACAGGCATTCTTAATGCAGCGTTTAAACTATAAAACGATGTACGGTCTATTTCTATGCAAAGAAAGTCCCCGGCGTTGACTCTAAAAACTTCTGTTTACGAATCTAGAATAATGTTACTTTGAGAAGCTTACCGTGGGGAAGGAGCAGGAGCAGAGACAAGGGGAGCTGTTGGGTGTGCGGGAACCTGAGGAGAAGAGAACCGCATTCGGCTCTAAACGCCTCAGCTCAAGGTGGACGGGTGGACCGATGGAACGATGGTACGCTGATGCATCATGCCACACTCCAGCCAATCAGAACACCCACCTGCTTCAGCCTCGCTCTAACCACGCCCCGTTTTCTATGTGACGAGAGGAGAGTGGGCGTGGTCTAAGCATCTCACCACCAGCGGCACGAGTCTGTGTTCCACTGCTATATGTGGTGTGGTACCGTATATGTGTATACGGGGAGGGCAAATCTATTGGCCCCTATTATAGTAAGTCAAATTCTTTTACAGGACTATTTCTACAAAATTTGAACATGAACATACCTTCTTTATTGAGGAAACATGAGTTTAGTTTTTTCCCCCCACAAAATTCAGAAAAGTAGGTCGAACTTACCGGCAAAACCAAAAATGTACCTATTTTACAATGATAATTATTAAATAATAATAATTAAAAAAATCTTATGCTAATACTTTTGTTCAAGACCGTTTTGTTCAAAATGTGTTAAAATCAGGAATTTGTTCATCTTCTTGACATTGTAAAATAGCTCCCGATTTTAAATCATGCATTTATGCTTAAAGGCTTACTCGTGTACTTTATTATACTTCAAGTCTGTAGAAAAGGGCTTTAGGAGGCGAAATCTTCCCTTCAACAGATACAATCCACAAATCCCAACACTTAAGATAACAAGGCTTAAAATCCCAAAACACAGAATTTGTTTGGGTGCTGAGAGCAATGTGTGTAGTATTTATTATTATTATTATTATTATTATTATTATTATTATTATTATTATTATTATTATTATTATTATTATTATTATTATTATTATTATTATTATTATTATTATTATTATTATTATTATTATTATTATTATTATTATTATTATTATTTTTATTATTATTATTATTATAACAGAAAAGAGACAAAGATTTCAAAAAGTAATTTAAAAATCACTTACCTCGAACATTAAACTCAATTGTCGTATTTATTCTAGCCAGCAGATAGCGCTGTTTTGGATGCTTGGAAGAATTGCCAACATTCCTAATCCTGAAGAGTTAGCTCGCAAATCTTGCTTCATGGGCCTGCCAGGCCTTTCCTTAGCAGAAGCTTAAGACATAATCAACAGACATGCCTTTGTATAACACAGGTTATTATAAAAGCAGTGTTCTTCAATGACCTGACAGGAATACTGTAAAATCTGCATGCTAAAAGGTGATGTGATATTATGTGGTTCAAGTGGTTTCCCCTCCCTATTCAGGTTAAGGCACGCAAAGAGACATTATGTAGTCTTTAGTGATCCTTTAAGAGGAAAAGTCACAATGGATGTTTTATTATCTAGGATAGTTTTAATGTACTTGCTAATTGTCAAAATGCTAATACAATCTGAATGATGAAATCTCAGTAAATGTCATAAAAAGTAACCCAGAAAGGGGGATGTGCTGGATTAGTAGTGTACGCACACAAAGGCTTAGTGTCACTGTTATCCTCCTACAGTGGGATTTTCTGTGCAAATTATGTAACAGTAATACTTGTACAAACACAAACTACTGCAGGGATGCTTTGAGGATTTTTCCCCTTTTGCTGCTCTGTGTTCTTTATTGATTGTTTGGACTCCTACAAGTGTCATGGTCATTTTAACAGTAGTGCAGATTTACAAGTGGAAATCCTGCATGGACGAAACCCTGGCATAAGGCATATGTTACTGTCAATGATGCCACAGCAGCAACATGAAGTATAAGAAGTTCATGACCATCATACAGGCCACTCTGGGAGTTGCACCCCTCAACAAGAGAGAGCTGATTCCACCAACAAGAAGATTCTGGAAACACACACGGTGAGATGAAATGCAATTAAGAGAGGGTTTGTAGTGAAAATGTTTTTTTTTAAATGTCATCCGTCACATACACTGTTATACCATGTACAATGTGCAGTGAAATTTGGTTTTGTTTTATGCATTTGAAACTGAAATATATAGAAGAAATGTAATGTTTATATATATATATAAACATGAAAAATGATTTATACTTTATAATTGTTTAACAAACTAACTACTTAGCCCTGTTAATTGATATTAACCTTCAAACAGGATGTTGAGGTATTTGTCAGGTTTATATTTGAATTTGTAAAAGTAAGGAAACGAAAGAATCTATATTAAAATGCACTGAACGACAAAGTAAGATATCCAAAACTGTCCCATCCTGTTCATGACACCAGCCCATCACAGAACCACATATAAAGACCATATCAAGAACCATTCACGCTCACATTCATACCGATGGTCAATTTAGTGTCTCCGATCAACCTAATCCTCTACTCGTTTGTCTAATACAGGCTATTGCAGAAATCCAAGCTCAATGATTTACAGTCTCTGAGTGTTTCCCATTGTGGATTAAATCATGTTTACCGTCAGACAACCAGTAGATGGCAGTTTTTGACTGAATGTGATCTCTATTCTTACCTTACCGAACGTTTGTACACTTCTCTAACCGACTCAGATCAGGGAATCTACAAGCCATTTTCATGGCGGTGGATATGACTGTGACTCAGTAGCTGCTGCTCTCTTCTGCTTAATACTGTATATTGTGGTAAATATTTGTGAGATTTCAGAAGACGTTTTTAGACATATAAATCACTAAATAACAGATAACACAACTTGCAGATGACTACAGTATGTCACTATCTCCTGTCAACCTTTTGCCTTAATAACCTTCATTTTCCTGGGGGAAACAACCGACTTACCAAATATGAAAAATGGTAAAATAGTCTCATAAGAACGTAGACTTCAGCTGTAACAACCTGTAATTCAGAAAAAGTAACGGATCCATTCAAAACAGCTCCCCTCATCCCTGTCTGGTCCAATAAACATGGGAAACACCAGGCCTGTTTCCGGTTAGTCAATTCTGGGCTACTGTTTTTTCTCTTTGTCTGAAAGTCAAGGCTATAATTTGAAAAATCATTTGTATTTTCATGGCATTAGAATGATCATATGTAATTAAGTCAGGGACCTGCTGTGGCTGCTGTAGACTGAATATTAGTGTAAAAATATATTTAGACTATATATAGACTTTTGGCGTCTCATTTCTTATTTTTTATGTGATTTGACTTCTTATATTGTATCATATTGCAACTTCATTGTGACTCCTCATTTCTCATGAGATTTGTAAATGCAGCTTCATATTAACTGCTTCGCTGCTGCTGTGCAGCAGGGGCTGTTAAAAAACATGGGTCAATCATCAAAAGCAGTGGACAGAGATGTAGAAGAGAGTGATGCAGATTGTCATTTCTCAAGGGTACAGTGTTGGGGTAGAAACACAAGGACTCCAAGGAGGTTCAGGGATGTAATCAGGGACAGTAAAGGTGGTCGGTCATACGTTTTTGTAGGGACGGCATTAGGTGAGATGAATGCAGAAGATTCACTCGGAGAATCCTTCAAGACAGCAGCTGAAAAAGCAGGATATTGTCAAAACCGGGCAGCAAACGAAGTTCACTTTGGATCTATTGGTCAAAGTCTGTGACTATAGATGTCCTCATAGGACGAGGAGGAAACACAGTAGATCCTAATTCGCAGTAAATGATCACTTTTCTTAGAAAATGTTGTTTGTAATTTGTCTGAGGGGAGGTGTGAGCAGAAAAGTCCTCTGTATTTTCTGTATAATCTGCAGTGTCACTACTTGGTATCTCAGATCCTGGCCCATTAGATTGATTTACAAAAATGTAGTCTTCTAGGTCTTTTGTCAAGAGAAACATTGGGAAAACCCCAGTACAGCTGTTGGTCACACGGCCGTGAGGTGCAGAGTCACTGCTGGCTACAACCAGAAAGGGATCCCTTTCTGAAAAAAAAAAAAAAAAAAAAAAAAGGCACAAAAAAATTACAAGTAATTTTCTCTGCCATCTGATCATAATATTCAGCGAACTCCTTCAGGACACAGAGAACCCTTACTTACCTTGATGCTTTTCTGACTGGTGTCTTTAAAATCGACAGTCTGATTCATCCAGAGACAGTATCCCTTAAGCTGAGCTTAGGACACACACACACACACACACACACACAAACACACACACACACTTGTGTTGTATAGGTGCATATACAGAGGCACAGACTCACATGCGGGAGCAGTAGCAGTGCAGCCATCC